TCAAAGCTGGTGGCAAGAGAGGTTGAGATGGGCATGGAATACGAAATCAGCACAGTCCGTATCGAATCCGTATCGGTTTTGCGCTTGCAAGAAAACCAACTGCATTGGAATCGTATCCAAACCAGCATATCCCAGCTATCTTGAGCGTATACAACAGTGTATTGTGCAAGGTAATGCAAATCACATTGAGAGTGTATCAAAACTGTATGTGGATTGTAATCATATGCACATCGTACTGCCGAATCGTATCAGGATGCATATCCAAGCCATAAACGAAAATGCCTTGGGTTTTCCTGTTGTACTATCAGCCCATAATCTAGCAACCTGGCATTAAAATCAGAGTTTCAAGATACCCTCTGCTAGACAGGTTGCAGGCGCCGGCGACGAGGAACGACACGCCTCGTTGACGAGGCTGGATCCCACCTGTCCATGCCACGGGGGGACTAACATTCAGCCAAACTCTCCACTGAAGCCCAAACCTGACCCTAAAAATCGAATTCCTACACCCAAAACACTACATGCAAACTTGAGGGAGAGAAGACACACTCCCATCAAGCGTTCCACTGCGCCAGCGCCCTCAGATTGGGCTCCTGGGCATGAGGGAGATGTTCTTCTTGATTTTTGTAATTAGTCTTGCGGCGGCGGCAGTGGACTTTGAAGCAACAAACTCAGGACACATTTACATCCATTTGGAGGCGGGAACAAAGGGCAAGGGTTGCAAAGTGCAACCCATGTAGGCTTAAGGGTGTTATTGTTGTTAGGTAATCTTAAACTCTCTGGTTCTTAGTAGGGACTACAAAACCCTATATAAAATATTCCCATATTCCCTACTAGACCCCAGTAAGTAAAGCTCCGCGAACGCCGCTCATCAGAAGTACTGACAGATGCGGTTGGCTGCCCGCACTGCTAGTTGTAGGATTCCCGTGGCAACAATCTAGACAAATAAACCTCCATTCCAACCGGGGGCTTCGATTAATTGGGGGCCCGCCCTTCTTGCAGGGGTTGCGCGGTGTAGAGTTGAGGGTTTAGGGCTGAGGGTTTGGGCTTTAGTGTTTAGGGTTAGGGGTTTGAGGTACAGGGTATATACAAGGTGATCCCTGTTTCTGGAGACCTTCCATTCTCCGAGCTTTCAACGCACATGGCATGCGTGTGCGCCGCCTCGGGTTCTTTGAAGGGATTTCTGGAACCTGCGGGGTGCAACCTTGCCCAGACCTCAGGGAAGATTTCGAATGTAGATCCCTCGTAAGGGTTCCTAGAAAGTACGCAAAAGTAGTGTAGGAAGGATTATTCGGGGTTCTACTTTCTAGACAAGGGGTCTGGTTAGGGGTACAATTCTGACCCAGAAGCGAGGAGGTTGAAAATCTTTAGGGGTCTGAAAGATGTGCAGTTGTTTCAGGGAGAGTGGGTTGAAGATCCAGAGGGATGTAGGGTTTAGGGTTTAGTAAAGGCGCCATTTTAAAGCCTTGACCCTAAATCAAAAACAACCACGCCAAGTTTATCTAGGGCTTAGGGTGGCTTCAACCCTCAGCTATTGGAGATGTAGACAGGTTCGACGCAAAGCAACAGATTTTTTTCCAGCCACTGCGTTTTCAAAATTTGTGTTTGTTGCATTTTGGCCTGGAGGCTTCACCATTTGGGTGTCTGTTTGGTGGAAAGGGCTGTCGTAGATGCGTTTCGCAGCGTAGCTAGACCCTGATGACATGCGAGAGTTCGTGGAACCTATTGGGGTTTAGTTAAGGGCTTAGGCTCGTTCAGGTTGAGGGTTTGGGGTTCAATACGTACAATCCAGCTGCATCCAAGGGGAGTATGCAAAGAAGACTCACAGCTGTTGCTTATCAAGGCAGGCACAAGCTAACCCGTAATTGCCCCGGGGACCCCAGAAGTAAACAATGTTTATGTTGCCGTTTTCACGGAGTTTATGCGGCAGCTCAATTCCAAGTGTAGGAGAGTTGCCAGAAACGTGGGGGCATTTAATAAGCAGTCGGTAAGTGAATCTGGGAGTCAAGTGAAGCCTTGTCACGCTGTCTTGGACAGTTTTTAAAAAGGTCAGCTATCTGGAGAGGTCTCCACAGAGGTGCATCTTGAATCCAAATTTGAGAACTTTGTCAAATGTTTGTGCTTGCTTCGGTCACCCTCGATCAACCAATTCTCTGGCGAAACAGCAAACATGATGATTGGCAACCCAACCCGAAGATGCACCTTTACCTGGGAGAGTCACGTTCAAGTCCCTTGTCCCCTGGTTGGGGTTCGAGGGTTCCTTGTTTTGTGAATGTAGCTTAGAAATCAGATTCAACCGCAGGCTCCTGTTAATGATAGATATTTCTTATTGGGGCATGCCCATCCAAAAGGCTTCTGCCATTGGGCCCCACGCTCAGAGAAGCTTCATCTGACAAAGGCATAGGCTGAGGCTTCCTCCCAAAAAGACCCTAGTTAGCAGAGGCCTTTCATGTTTCTACTGCATGTATGCGTCCCATGACGGGTTATGCAGTGCGATCATGGAGTGCGGAAGGACGATGATGCACTGCTGGCTGACTGAGCCTTGTTGAGAAGGAGGCAGGTCACAGGAGTCAAATGGAGCGTGCAGTCAAAACAAGTGTTTCGCTTTTGCTGGCTTTGGGCCTCACAGGGTTTGTGCTTCGCCACAGCCATGGCTTGATTATCCTTCTGCCATAATTATGCACGCGAATTTTGCAAGGTGGGCAAACACAGGTAAACATCCAACAGCTCTTGTTAGTATTTTGTTGTGGAAAAATTGCCGGCAAGGGTGTGATAGCCATTCCTGGCACCGATCTCACCACGTAGGCTTTCCCTGCAACAACAGAAGAGAAACGATCTTCCCACCTGATAATCAGCATGAGCTCACATGTTACTATGAGCATGCGTGAAATCTGCATGTTTCCCCCCACTGTTTCACATGTACACAATGGCCGCGGAACATCATGTTACGGGGCTTCTATTGAAGCTACACAGTCACCAGGCCAGATATTGTCCAACATGTTAGTAGTGTTCTTTTGGATTGTCTTTGTTTTGCAAAGTTCTACAATGTCTCATCTGCACTGTTATGGTGCCGCATCATTCAACATCTTGTGGGATGTGGCCGCTCCTAGCACAGCCACGACACACAATAAAAGTGTTAACTGGGCAGCATCAGTTCAATGCATACGTACTTTTGGGATTGACGCTATGAAATTATGGCCTTATTCACCCAGTTTTGAATTGGATGTCCAACTCAGACCCCGCCGAACTTTCTTGGCAGCCCCAAAACGCTGAAGGTTAGTTTGGCAATTGGATCATTCAACCTAAAGATTGTACAGGTCTTTGTCGAAGGCTCAGTTGCAAGGCTCCGCCCCAATAGCGCGAGAACTTTGTACATCTTATGTTCGATATGCCGAACGAGCTGCTCATGTTTGTCGTGGAGTCCGGATACAACCTTTGGCCTCGAACCCCTCCGACCCGACCTTTATGTATAAATACCCTGCAGATAAAACACCCTATACATTGGCGCATACGCATTCCATCCCAATATTATCTACACTCAACCATGTTAAAGGATGACACGAGTTCTCAAAGGCATGCTCACTTTGTTCGACCAGCACACGGTCGGTGTCCCTTTTGTGCCACTTTCCAGAGCATGCATTGAGACGTGAGGAGAAGTTGGCTTTTTAGGGTCGTTATCCGAACTAAGCCTCGAAGATGGGCACTTACTGCCGTTAATGTTCCATGTGGCGTTTCGTGCATGTGTTTGTTGTTATTGAGCATTGTTACAATACAAAGCGACATGCAATGATTTCGCCCACAAGTTCCCCTAGACAATGCAGTGTTTTCAGCGTACGAGGTAACTCCAGCGCCGCATGACAGTTTCCATTTTTGGGTTGCGACCCGCTGCTGTTCAGGCGCTATGTTTGCTACAACTTTTGCTAGCTGTGTCACCACCACATTCCTTTTTGCGTGGCTTGAAGTTGCGGCTCACAAAGACCTGCATCCAGATCGAGGTCTTTATGTTGTGCCGATTGGAGTTCATAGTGTTCGGAGCATGTTTTCAAAAGGGTTCTAATTCACACGTGTGCGGTTAAGCATCGTTCCCGTAGCCACAAATCCAAAAGAACAGAAGTTGAATTGTCAAGGCTTAGGATTACAGGTTTTTTTGCTATTCTCGCAAACCATCCCTTTCGCCGCCATGACAGCTGGGGTGCTGCTGCATTGGATTGCTGGAGTGGGTGCAGCCATTTCCATCAAAATCTCCTCGTCGATTGTGCCTCCGACTGCATTGAAACGTCAGTGGCCTGCGGAAAGCAGCAATTCACTACTTATACATTTAAAAACTTTGAAGTCGTAACCTTGTGACAAAAGGATACGACCAATATTGTAATTGAAAATTCCAAAGGCCCGAACCCATGCAACGTTGTGTAGGTTGTTCAACATTATCCAAAGCACAAAGTTGAGAAGGGACTCCCCTGGGCATCTCGTCAGCAATTTGCAGTACACTCGTAGGCAGATCCTCATGTACATGCATGTTGTGATGAGAGATTGAGATGTGTAGAATGGCTTCTTGCTTGGGCCAGGCAGTGGATCCGCTCAATCCAGCTTGGTGTTTCGAACTTGATGTTGAGATGTTTGGATTGTCCTCGTTTAGGAGTAGGCAGCAGAAGATTTAGACACGTGCGCAATATCCAATTGCAATTTGGGGTGCCTTGCTGTCCGAGTCTCAACTGAGAATTCCATTTCCAAGGGACCACTTGTTTGCGAGCCTGGTGATAACTGATGCGCACGTGAGGCTTGCAATTTCTTGTCGGCAAAGCAGACCTCAGTTCCAAAAGGGTGCAAACATGTGTTTAGGTTGAGGGCTGAAAAGTCTTGGTCATGCCTTTGTCTTTTTTTTGGGCCTGTTTGCTCAAAAGCGGCAAGCCACCAGTCAACGCAAGAGTACACGCCAGATGACCGAACAAAAGCTGTAAGAATCAAGGTCAGTTCTGGGATTGTTTGTTTTCGGAGTGACCAAGGATGATGTTGTATGGCTGGCACCTTTCCTGACCAACAACGTCAGCTACTTCTCCAGGCTAAAGAACATCAGCATTTATGGCGCCGTTTGCTGGGTGACTTGTCCAAGTTCAACACGGGTCACCACTTCGCACGTTACTGCGGGGCAAGTCACAAGACGCGGCTGCGTCATATACAGGGTCCTACAGTACGTTGGGTGGTGTCATAAGCTGGCGTATACAGAAGCATATGTATGATACAGCGGACATAAAGTTTCCAATCCTATTTACTTGACCCTTAAACAGGATTTGCATTGTACTACGCAGAGATTTCTCTACCGAATTCTGTCGTTTGTTACGTACCTGTTAGGGCACACGTCCTACTTCTAAGGTCGGTCATGTAGCTTAGCTCGCAGCATCAGTTGCGGAGAAATCGACACGCAGGGCAGACCACGCATGTTTGCAATCAAGTTTGTAGTCATTTGCTGGTGTGTCAGGGCAAAAGGTCGTACTACCATCTTATTTCCGAATACGAAGAGTTGTTTCCGACGTCTTTGCTGCAACTGACCTGCCCGACGCAAGGTTCAGACGGCTTTGGCCATGTGCATCGCATACTCGGGCAATAAGATTGTGGCTCTTCGGCTCAACCTGACACAAGATTCGTTAAGCCGGGTTGTGTTATGTTGTGAGGCTTGCTGTGACCTTGTTGTACCCTGGGATTAGATATGCTGTTTCTAGTTGAAGTTAGCTCAGCATGCTTTCGATGTCCCTTCCTGTAGTAGATTGCCGAGCTCATTAATCCACAGGGCTTACATGTGCAGACTAGCGGATGGTGCGACAGTCTAGCTTAAGACCCTTGGATTGTCGTGGCGACGTCTGGCCAATAAGGAAATGTTGACCCGCAATTCCAAAGACGCATGGTCTTCAGAGAAGATCCTGACGGTGCTCGCCGGTTCGATGCTGGCTGTGTACTCCATCAAGTTGGTCTATGAGTACATGCCGCTGGGATTGATCCATGGACATTTACACTTGGATTGAAACCTCAGAACCTGAAGCTGGGAATACGTTACATGCAATTTCAGCTCTGCTAACGGCACCTTTGGTTCTGTGGGACTTCTAGGACTTAAGCGGCGAAGCCTCAAGCCAAAACACGACCAAGAAATCATTCAACCCAACACTCCGGAAAACATACAATCAGGCCTGAAAACGGTGCGGCCTCCACACTTGAACTTTCAAATCCCAACACCAGTCCATGACGATATCCAGAGTGATAGTCCAAACCCGCATCCCAAATTGCATAAGGTTAGGAGTATGGGCCCGTAATATGGACTCTTCGGCCATTTAGGGGGATTCTAGGGACCCTGAGGGTACATATAGGGTGTATAGTTAGTATTTGAGGATCCCAGGGTTAAACGCCCGTATGCGGGCGCATGGTTTTGAAAACTTGGGAAATTGGCAATGAAGGCCCATGGAATGTCAGATTCTCATACCTGGGTTCTCCCGTCCCAGGATCCCATACTTATCTCAGTATCTACCAGCGTGGACCTCATGAAATACATCAAAAAATCCGTATCCCTACTAGGCCGGCCTAACGAACCCGAAGCATGAGAAAGCCCCTCAAACCTAGATTGTGTGTGTTTAGGAATCATTTTTGCATCATAATATAACCCTAGAAAATGATTATAAATAAGTTTTGAAAATTTTATTATGGTTCTAGGAGGACTACACTAGATCCTGCAAAGTCTCCATGCAGCCCCTGTATGATCCCGATGAATCCCGAAAGGGGCCCATGATTTGGGAACCTGTTCACCAATGCTCATAAACTAGGTACCCCAGTGGTGCGTTTGTCCCCTTTTGATTTTGGTGTTTCTTTATCAATATAGTCCTCATACAACCACTATATGAACCCTATGTAACCCCTATTAATGGAGTTCAACCTCCCAATCAAAGAAACACCCCAGCATCTGAGGACCGAGTCGGATGGCGACCCTCAGGATACCAAGGAAGATGCCGGCGAAGAGCGCCTTTGCACCCAGGGTTTGTAGTCGCCCTTAAGTAGATAGAATACGGGCTATATGGGGATAATGGAAAAGAAAATGGAAACTGCTATTTAGGGTTTAGGGTTAGAGTCCCCCTAAAGTAGATAGAATATGGGGTATATGGGGATCTTATTATAATAGACCCAAAGCCATATTCTATCTACTTAAGGGGGACTATAGGTCTAGGTTTCGAGCTTACTGTTCCCTGAAAATCACTTTAACTTCAGCTATCTATCATCCTAATAACCAGCGGAAATTATGATTTCTACCAGGGGTCCAGAGGGAACTTAGAGGTGAGACTTTTGCGGTTTACGGATTTAGGCCTAGAGAGTTTGGGGCTAAATGTGTTTTAGTTTAGGCGTTCGGATGTATGGTGTCAGGCTGGAAGTCATGGGTGGAGATGGTGGGTGTGCAATCCTTCGTGCTGCTAGGTTGTGAAGTACTGTAAGAGGAAGAGCCCATACATCTGAAACGGTATACGGTTCCGTTTGAAGATATAGGGCCTCTGCTTGCAAGCGACAAGGTGGAGTTGAGGTTCACTTCCCTAAACCTTAGCCCCGTATGTAGAGACCCCATACGAAATCTTCTGGAACCCCTAGAGCCTTAACCTCAAGCTGTGTGGCTCAAATACTCAAAAGTCAATACGATCTAAACCCTCAACCCTAAACCCAAGCCAAGGCAACAAGTCTCACCCAGACCCATGATTAATAAGCACCCTCTCCTTGACAGGGATTGTTATTATAGTCCCCCTTAAGTAGATAGAATATGGTTCTGTGTATATTCTAGTAAGATCCTCATATACCCCATATTCTATCTACTTAAGGGGGACTATAGGATCCTAAGATTGAGGCTCTTAAAAGGGGGCGGGGGCTATTAATCATGGGTCTACATTACAAACCTGCTGAAAGCCAAAGCACTTCAAAACCATTAGGAACGCTTCAGAAGCCCAGACTGCCATAGAAGCCTTCGTGGAATCCTCGAATCCTTTCCGGCCCTACACTTACTCCTGGGAAAGCAACGACGTTTTCACAAAACACATTCCTTTTTCCTTCAGTCCAAACCATCCACCCCTAAACCCCAAAATTTCTCTCCCTCTATCACCTAGCCATCTTCGCGCTCAACCACCAATCTCAATCTCTTAAACCCTAAGCCTCAATGCACACTGAATTCTTTCATATGTAGACCCAAAACCCTCAACCCCAAGCCCCGAACTCCCAGGCCCCTTATCACCCTCCTTGGCCCAGGAACAAATACGCGAAAGTCAGCCCTTCAGACCTGGAGGGCGGCGGAGAGCTCACCCCCGGGCGCAATGAGTCCAGGTTTGGGGGTTTGGGTTTAGGATAATGGCACAGAAAATGGACACTACTATAGCATACAAGGGTATATATTGGGATAATGGAAAAAATGGAAAGTACTATTTAGGGTTTAGGGTTTAGGGGATGTTGGGTTCGTTAGGTCTTCGTTTAGAGCTTAAGGCATGTTGTCTGGGATTCAATGTTGGAGTTTGGGCTCGGGTTTTAAGTCTTGGGTTGCATTTGATAGGGGTAGTGCCATGCGCCTGTTCGTCTTACGCCCATTGGCCGAGCTTCACGAAAATCCTCTTGAACCCTAAGATAACGCAGTATAGTAGTTTCCATTGTCTTTTCCATTATCCCAATATCCCTATATGACCCCAATATGTACTGTACGCTATAAACCCTGTATAATCCCTATAATCCCCATGGTTTCCTTTTTCTTTACCATTCCTTCAGATTTCAATGGTAATAGTAGAAGTAATATGAATAATGATAGTAATAATACTGATACTGACAATAACAATCAGAATTCTATCGCCTTGACATTAGCCGCGGCAGGTTCACAGATTGCCTGCAGCGGGTTCGATTTTCGCTTGGGGAGGGCCGAAAGTCATTTGGGGTACCCTTCTAAACTCCTTGAAGGGGGTTATATAGGCATTGTATAGGGGAGTAATATAGGGTTTATTATAGGGGATACTAGGAGTTTAGACCGTAGTTCATGAAGGATAGACTTCATTATTGGTCATTCATGAACTGCACGAGCTCTCGACAATCATGACTCACCCGTCTCAGCAACCGAAATTCGAGCGCAGCAAGGTGGTACAGCGGCTTGTCTATGAGAGTCACGAGTGTACAGGGATGGGATGACCGTGGCCTGAACGAGTCCGGCTTCATTTCGCTACCTCAGGGCTAAAGCTTCTTATGTCCCATCTTTGCCAAGCCCCTTAATCAACGTTGGATTCCTCAGATGATCACGGAATGCCTCATGCGGCTTGCTCCGCGGTTTTTTTTTCTCCTGTGGCCTGGAAAGTGGAGTTTTTAGTTATGTTGGGATAATGGAAAATAGAATGAAAACTACTATTTAGGGTTTTGGGTTTAGGTTTTAGCGATTCCCAAATTTCATGGTTGCTATATATCATCTCTCTTTAGCGTGAAACTGAAGTGAAGCTGTTCTCTCGCTGATCTAGGGTCTTGAAATCGTATGCACAACCTCCTCATTTCCCTGAAGGCAGCTCATGTCAGCGAGAAACCGACCTATCGAATCTGCGAACGCAGTGTCTTGCCTTCAGTGTTTCAGACTTTGGGTATAGGGGAGTTCCTCGAAACTACCATCTAGAATCCTTCATAGCGCCTGCATCATCCTTTCCCATTCCCAATCTATCCCTAGGTTTCTAAGAGGATGCCCGATTCTTGAGAAAACCTCATCAGCCTAGGGGTCAGGTTCACGGTTTCAAGAGATGGCATGATGCTTCGCTATTTTGCTGTGTTTTTAGTTGAGCAGTCCTGCACGTGGTGATGCTAACAATGCTCATAGGATTCGATGCGGGGAGTTTGTAGCATGTTATACAATGTGAACGGCAGCTTCCAAAACTGGCATGCGAAACTGGATCTCAAACCCTCGCTCTGCCCATTGCAATCCCTGAATTTGCCTTGCTAAGTTTTATCTAGAAGGGTACTGTAGCAGCCACAAAGTTGTGGACCCTACAGAGAGTATTCCTTGCATAGTAATACCCCGAAATCCGGGGACCCCTTTGCTTTCGGAAGCTCTCACAAATCGAGGCACAGTTCTCAAAACATCTTTACAACTTTACACCATTCTTACATAATTTCCTTCTATAGTCAGAAGTTCTGAACCCTAAAACATCAACCCGTTCTTGAAAGCCCCAAAAGTCTAAGCCCACGAGGATCCAGAGAGGAAAATCGCGGACGACAAGGCATCTCGGTCAGCTGTCGATGAACCCGTGTTCCCCCAGGAATCCCAGATCTTATGAAGGTCCGATGCAGATTAGACTTTTGCCAGTCGCAATATGACCTGTAGTCTAAACTCCTTAAAGAAGGTTATGTAAGGGACTATGTAGGAGACTACTATAGGTGTTCTGAAGGAGGATACTAGGAGTTTAGACTATAGCTCATATAACCGCTACATAATTCTATATATAGCAGTTCAAGGCTCATATTAGGGCACCATTTTCCGGCTTCATGCCAAAAGAGTATTGCTAGGGGGTTTTCAGCCAGCCCTCTCAACAGCTGTGGCCTAGTACGGACTTTTCAAGGATTCATTTCAAGAGCTGGTACTGTCCCTCGCCCGTTTTGATGAAATTATTACTGAACCAGGTTAAGTATCCCAAGTCGTGCGTGTTACAGTGGTTCGCGTGCTCTAGGTGATGCAATGCTTCTAGAATCATGAAGAGCAATTCCCAGCCTAGCCTTCGTTCTGGCACCTGCTACCACTAGTATCCACCTGGACAGCCGAGTCATTGGGAGCTGCATTTCATCCGAAGCCTTTTGGCACTTGCCTTGAGACAATCTTTACACTTGCCTAGACGGTCGGGCTCGCTCAGTGGGCAAAACGCAACGCATTGAAGGCTGATCGCTGATCCATGCAGAGTGCGTCTAGGACGTAATCTGTAAATATGCCCTTCCAGTAGGCACGTGTATTTGGTTCGTGGAGCTTCGAGCATGCAGGTACGTGAGGTATGATCTTTGGAAACAGAAGGGGAAAGACAAGAAGGTTTCCACATCCTAGAGCGGAATTCGAGCAGGACAATTCCGAGAAGCAATCCAAGTATCAGCGCTTCTGCCTTGCAAGGAATCGGCCCAGACACAGACCCTTTTTGTGATAGCCTTTATTGGCTCTCTGGACGACCTTACACTTTTTGTGCCCATGCTCGTCGGCAAAGGGTCCCTCGGCTTCAAATCTTCGCTTGCAGGAGTTGTTCGAAAATGTGTTGCGCTTGGAATATTTCCCTTAACGAACAGCTGAACATGACATGTGGGAAGGTTTCCATGGCAGATTCAGGGTCGTTTATTCTGTCTCCAGCGCCATGCTCATGATTCAGGGCAAGGTCAATGTGTGCTGTGGAGAGGGAAACTGCCTGAATACTCTTTAGGGTACTGGCGAGATAAAAAGTTGGACGCTGGGGCCACAAGAACGGCCCCAACTCCTGACCTGTGTACCATACATTTTCCCCGACAGAGTTGCGCGCAACCGCAGACCATTTGACTGTTGCAGATGGCATACCGAGAGGTAAGGCGCGGTTTTCTTCAACCGCCACAGACTGCTGAATCGTGGCACGCAGCTTGCATGTCGATTGCAACTCCTGGGGTATCACGGATCAAGGTTTGACTTTGCGCAGCTTACCATCGGCTCTTTGACTGCCGCCTCATTGATTGCTGCTTGGTTTTTGTTAGCCATGGCTAGAAAGGACCCCTCATGACCATAGCGGAAAATTGTAGATGAATTGAAGTATTCTATCTTTGTACTTACCTAAGCTATAGCCGCTGCGTGATGCTAATTCTGAGGGCAGGTCCGACACACGCTGCGAGTAGTAGTTTGCCATCTTTTCATCCGCGGGTATGGTGTTTACCTTCCTTGGGGGGTCCCACGATTCTTTTGAATTCGTACACGGACCCTGCAGGAAACGGCTTGACGTCAGATTGTGGTGTGAGTTCCAGACCAGAGCAGCATCGTATCTTATGTATTCACCTACCCTGTGGGTCTACAACAACATACGTTATGGTAGCATCGCAATCGTTTTTTGCAATTCCATACAATATCTTTCTCACACACCACTGAGCTACGCTCGTCTTCTCAGACCAAATGTAATGGGTTCCTGCAAAAGCTCAGTTCAGTTTCGGAAAACTCTTGCGAGAAGCCCTCATGGATGGCGATTCTGACCAGGGATTCCCGAATGTCTTTACCAGAAGACATCCATACGGGAGTCAGTAGATTAGTGATATATGGGCTTTGCAGTGCTGGTAGTCCAAGTTCCAGGTTCTTGAAGCCCTAAATGCATGCTGAGACCTCAGCCAAAGCTCTTCAGCTTATCACGCTTTTGTATAGTTTAGCTTTGTCAGGTTGGCAAGTCCTCCCTCAGGCTCTTTCAGGCTACCTCCCAGAAAATGGGGCCTAGTGCTGCGCCCCAATCTCACGAGCAATTGGGGATGTAATAACTTCCCATTATCTTGAACCCTAAGATCCCTGTGACTTGAGTAAGGTCGTCATTTGCCTATTTGTCGGCCTCTGTCAACCAGTCGCCGACTGCATCTCCAAAATACCACTTTTCGCAATAGTTGCCGCTTGACTCAATGGTTTAGGACGTAGCACCCAGTCTAGGATTGAGGATTTTGGTATAAGAAGGCATTCAAGTTTTAGTTCCCAATGGGCGTAGAGCTGCTGAAATGGAGTCGGGGTTCTGTAGATGGGGGAGCCCCAATGGAACCAATACACTAGAATCCTTGCGATAGGTACGTCCAAAACAAGGACCGGGTTTTTGGAAACCTCCCATGCTGCTGGAGATAGTCCTCACATCCAAGCCTTAATTGGGCCAACCGTGTAGGCTCTGGCACTCCTGTTAGGGGATGCTTGATGGACGGCTCTTGTGTGCGACATCTCTTACAGGCCTGAGGCTCTTGACCATCAAACAAGCTACGAGCAGAACTTCTATTCTCTTTCGAATATTCACCCAGTAAAGATCTGTTGTTGAAGCAACAGCACTGCTTCAGCTTCCATAGCAGTTTAGCGGAGCGAGGGTTTTTTGGATGTGATGCGTCACAGAAGTGTTCACAAGGATCCCTTCTGCCAGTCCGGCCTATCATCCAAGCCCCGAAACCCTAATCCCACAAATTCTGCCTTGAGAATTTACTGCTCCCTACGCTACAGGTCCGTGGATGATTAGGTCAAGGCTTGGGATCTTTGTTGCCAATCTCTTCTTGTTGCTATTGTTATTCATACGGTTATTAATGTCATCATTTATGTTTTGTCTTGTTATTAGTAGTAGTACTAGTGTTGTAATGATTGCGAGGGTTTAGGGGTTTTTGAGAGAGACATAGGGTTACATAGGGTTTAGGGATGTCATCCGCAAGAATGAAGAGCCAAATAAAAGTAAATGAACAATCAAATGAAAACTGGGCTTATGCACTGGTTTGTATGGATGAGTAAGGGATCTCTTCTACTTTTAGGGGGAGTAGGTTTCCTGTTGAAACTGCAAAAAGTGTCACTCTTTCTTCCTGGTGTCACAGGGGATGAGACTAGGCCACGATAGGGACATGGGTCCCTATGTCAATTCTCCAGATTTGGCGAGCAGCTATTCAATCTTGGGCGTACATGCCGAGGTAGCTTTTGCCACCCTGCTCTTGGTCAAGCTTCCTGGCTGCATAGCAGCCAGCATTTTCTCCGGCTGGTGGTGTTTTTGCGTGGACGGTTTTTTGGATAAATCAAGAGCCCTTCCGCAAGATCAGTATCTCTCCTCCTATGAATGTTATTTCAAGGAACATGGCCTATGGGAACGAAGGGTTCTTAGATCATTTGGCGCAGATGAACGGAATCACACAAGGACAGGGACGCAGAAAAACCAATTATCGCTGGCGGTGTTTGCGACCCATCACACCTAGACTAATCCCAACGGTGTGTTCGGCCAAACTTTTGCTTGCGAGTCATCATTTGTAGACTTATAGATGAATAGTAGGTTCAGTTAGGGTTTTGGTTTAGGGCCCTAAACCCTAAACCCAGTTCAGTGTAGACTCTAGCTGCAACAAGCCTCAGCATGCTGAGCTCAGCGCCTGAGACCATCACCCAAAAGTCTTGCACATGAAAGCCCTATATAACCCCATATAATCCCTGTAGTTTCCACTTTTCTTTTCCATTCCCTATACAACGTTGCACCCTGAGTAGGATCCCAAACTTTAGAGGACGTTGGAGCTTCTTGGAGATTCAGGATGGGTCATGAACAACTTAGAGTGCGTAATCATGACACTTTTGCCATGTTTGTCAACAAGCAGCAAGACATAGTGAATTTGGGTTTTGATTGTTGTGAAGTAGGTGACACTGATGCTGGACATCCACTCACTGCGTATAGATGATGCTTCCCAAGAAGACAAGAGAACGGCAAATGCTCTTGTTGTAAAGAAAACTTGCATCAAGCCGTCGCCTGCTTCCTCATGTTAGCGCAATGGGCCACAACACCCTGGGTCACACTGTCACGCCAAAAAACTCTTGCGGGCCACACCGTGACGCCCAAAAACTGTTGCCAGGTCGCTGCGTGACGCACAAAAACTCCCGCGGGGTCACATAATGAGGCTCAAAAACACCTGCGAAGTCACACCGTGACGCTCAACACTTCTTGTGGTGTCACGCCGTGACGTCCAAAAACTCTTGCACGGCCAAACCGTGAGGTTTGTGAGACCCAAAAACTCCTGCAGGGCCACACCGTGACGCCCAAAAAATTCCTGTATGACGCCCAAAAACTCCTGCGTGGTCACACCGCGGCGCCCAAAAACTCCTGCGGGGTCACACCGCGAAGTCCAAAGCTCAAGCCTCTGGCCACACAGGGCCGCCCAAAACTCCTACAGGGTCACACGGTGACGCCCAAAGCTCTTGGAGAGTCACACCGTGACTCCCGAAGCGCTTGCAAGGTCACACCATGACGCCCACACCATGAAGCCCGAGGTTTTTGCATTGCGGTGACAACTCTTGCGGGCCACACCGTGACGCCGAAAACTCGGACAGTGTCACATCGTGAAAAGTAAAATTCTTGCGGACTCACACCGTGACGCCCAATGCTTTTGCTCGGCACGCCGTTTTGCCGGGCCATGCCGAGACGCAAAGAACTCCTGCGGGGTCACGCTGTGACGCGCGGCACTCTTGACTCGCCAACTTCCTGCCGCAGCATGACGCCCAAAACCCTTGTGGGGCCTCACTGTAACACCAAAAACTCCTGCGGGACACACCGCGACGCCCAGAAACTCCTGCGGGGTCACAGCCTTACGACCA